TGAAAGAAGGAAGCGTGGAGCTCGAACACGTAGGAAGTAGAGAGCAGGTAACCGATATCTTTACAAAATCAGTGCCGACAACAACATTTCAGAAGTTAAGAAAGTTACTCGAAATGAAAGAAGAAGGAGAAATTTAAGATTATGGGGGAGTTTTGTTGGAAAATCTTAAATTTCTAGAGATTCCGAGATATCCGAGATATCCGAGATATCCGATTTAAGTTATCTGGAATTATTTGATTTATCTTGAGTTATTTTGTTTCAGATTAGATAAGATAGTTTCTTGATAAGTTTTGATTTGATAAGATATTTTATTATCTTCTTGTTAGTTCAGTACATTGTAAAATGGCTATTTAAAGGCCATCTCTTATTCAATAAAAAAACACAGTGAGTTGCTACGTTCACCCACAACATTAGTATTACCTCGTCTCTCTTATTTTTTTCTACAGAACACTATGGAGATGCCTCAATTAAATTCTAACATTGTTTTTAATGCAATTCTAATAGTGGTTCAAATCTTCTTGCTATTATCAATAATCGATCTTTAGTGAACAATACTATATATTCATATTAATTGTTCATAGCACTAAGGACTTATGCTTTGTTTGGACAAGAGTGAAAAATACTGATAATATACTTTCACACTTACACTCATTTTAAAATCTATGCTCTGTTTACAATTGTTGAGTCAGAAATCCCTTTTTATTCTCTGAACCCTTAAACCTAAACCCATCTAAAAAATATGACATCCCCACGCAATAGACATTCATTAGCCACTGCAATCCATTTCTTTTAGATTATCGTCAGACCCAGAATAAGTCTTGCAGATGGAAAACATGTTTGTGTTTAGCACCATAAATTATTCTACTAAACTAAGATTATGTTTTTGGTCCTATAAAATTTTAGATTTTAGTTTAGTACTTGCTTTCCTTTTTTCATTTTTATTCCCTTGTTCAATGAAAGACTATGAAATCCAGTGTCATCTCTTCAACCTTGTTTATTGAAGCTCCAATGAGGTAACATTGCATCAGCATGTTCAAACTAGAAGTAGTAGCTCTTAACTTGGCCTGTTATTTATTCTGTTCCTAGAATTAACTAGGAATGACAGAAATTTGCAGAAAATAATTTGAATTTTGGGATGTTTGTGTGTTTGAGTTGATCTAGAAGATCCAGGGTCTTGTTTCAAAGTTTCAATCTTTCAAGATGCAGAGGAAACAAGTTGCCCCATTTCACATGGAAATCCATTATTCCATTTTATCTACACATTACAAAGTGAAGATATAGAATCAGTTGAAGGAGTTGTAGTTAATTAGACTTAAACTCTTGATAATATTAGAGAATAAAAAGGAAAACAATATCTAGATTTAATAAAAACTGAAAATACAGAAAGGATCCTAATATTTATAGGAGATGCTGAACGAGCTAACTAAAAGAAACTAACCAAATATGTTGATAAGCTGTATCCAAAATGTACTTAAATTTAAAAGGTTTAGAAAAATCTGAAACAAGAAGAATCAGAAAAGTCAATAGCCATTAAACAAGTAGGAAAAAAATGGAAAGAGCTTTTATTGAAAGTGGATGAGCATAGCTTCACATCAATAGAACATTAAAAGAATAAACAAAATATCATGAAAAGAGAGAATAGAATATTATCAAGCCACCATCCCATAAAGGTATACCATAGTAAGTTGAAGCTTTTTGTTTAATAGCAAAATGAGTCACATAGTATATACCAATTCAAGATAAGCATAGATAAATCACAAAGCAAGCTTAATAGTTGTCGAATCAAAACTTTGGAACTGATATATCAATGTCACTAAAGATTTCAAAATAGAAGAATCAAATCCAACTATATCTAACATATAATTAGAGTTGTCTATTACTCTATTCATCATCATCCATAGGGACTTTTTTGTTATTCTTTCCAACTTTAGCAGTTGTGCTGCGATGCAATATAGATGATATAGGTCTGGGAGCTCGTGTCTTGGCATCAAATGCTCTCACACAAATAAAACCTATATGTAAAATATAAATGAGCATAAGCATTATATATAGTTTCAACAAATAATACTATTAATAATGTTGTTTACTTACCTTTCCAGAAACAATATCGAATTTGCTGCATAGACATACCTGAAATGATATTTTAAAAAATAATAATAATGATTAAATTTTTATACACTACTATAGTCAAGTCAATTATCATGTTCATTTACCTTTCATTATTGATGATATCCCAGTCCCAAAATATACTATTCGTTTCTCTAAGTTCCATAACCATTTTCTTGGAACGTTGATTGGATGTATCATTGAAGCGTAATCAACAAAAACCTTAAGCATAAAGAATGTATTACCAAAATTTGATCATACAAATAGACACGAAACAATTATTATATTTGACAAAACATATAATGGCTTTTATTACTCACCTCATTAACCTGAAAGTATGTTCCGTTAAGTGGAAAACGCCCTCTCATTGCAGTTCGACATGGTATCTGTTTCATAACATCATGAATATAGTTTCTTTTGTTTGTAAATATTGGTCAAAGATTAAAGAACAGTACTTTAATAACTTCACTTACCAAAAGAGTTCCAGGCACCATTAGACTAGTTTCTTCCTGGGACAAGTTGTTCTTGGTTGGTTCACATGAACTTTCTAATTCACCTTATTAATACACAAAAGGAGGTGTTTGTTTTTTTACCAAATACTTTTTTTTTAACCAAAAAGAGTGCTTTCACATCATAAAATATTTCATTTTTGTTTATACCTGTAGTCCATACAACTAGAAGGTAGCGCGAAGGATCATCTTTTTCTCGTGGAGTACACTGTAAACAAAGAATTAGAAGTCTGGCTATGTGTGAAAAAGCTTACTTAATTTTGTGAATGTTGAGGGGAGAAACAATCCACTACCTACCTCTACTAGAAGAGGGTGTTCATCCGGAAGCACATAACTACAAAAAACATGAAAAGCAAAGACTTGGTTACCACATAAAGTGTATCACACTAATTAAGAATATTTTCTTAAAAAATAAAATAAAAATATAGACAAAGACTAAAGAGATTTGTGACTTAAATAACACGAAATGTAAAGAGGGAAGTGAGAAACTTACACTAAACGCTCAGTCTTCAAGCGACTAGCATTTTTCATCTTTGGTATGGGAATGTTTGCAGCATCTGCATGTAACGCAACTAAAGATGTTGATTTATTAATGTCATGCTCAGACTCTTCTAGAGAACAATTATGTGTTTCTTCACTACTGAGTTTGATTGTTGGAATATCCTCAATGTCTTCATAATCATCGTTGAGAAACTCTCCATCATTCTCTGCTTCAGATTCATCATATTTTGTGGTTTCAGGTTCTGGTGATGCTGGAAACTCAATGATAGGCTCACATATTTTCGCTTCTGTGGTTAAGGAAATTTTCACTTCAGGAAAGGCAAGCTTTCGTGTCACTGATATTGGTTGATTTGATGTTGATTCAGGTAAGGCAAGTTTTTCACTGCATTTTTATTTAACATATAAAATGTAAATATATATAACACATGAAGTGTGATCTTTGTAATTTGGTGCATGAACCATGCATGCATGCTCAAATGTCAAAATACCAAAATTTACCAAGATAGAGTAATTTACATTTCTACTTTACTTCTTTTGCCCTTCAAAAAATGATACATGTGGGTTGTCCAAAGTTTTCATTCTCCCTATAGCTAGCATCAAACTACTAAGTATTTAATTTTCAAATATGATAATTTAATGTAACATGTACATACCTTTCGGAAGCACTTGCAAAATGTTTACAGTCACCCCTTAAAGGACAAGCATTGCAATTTGGTTTTTTCTTTGTGCAAAAAACCTGAAAATGTTTCAAGATGGTTTAAATTTTTTCTTCTTGAACAAGTATATAAGAAACATTTAGAATAATGTTCATATGTACCTTTCCAAAAGTTATCAGCTGATAATGCAATTCATACCTATAGAAGACCATATATCATTAATTTGTGAGTTATTTTAAGTTAACAAAAAAAAAAAAAGATATAGATAAAAAAAATATATATATATATATATGCTCAAAAATTACAATGTATCCCGATCAAGAGTGCATAATCGTGGCCAGAGATATTGTTGAATTTTATTGGAATCTGGAAACCTGAACAATTTTTTAAAACAAAATTAGTGTAATTAATTAATATTGATATAACAGTGCAAAATTTCAAGGTAGAAATTGCTTAAAGACTTACATTTCTAAATTATGTAGTTGAATATATTCAGGTAATGGTTGGAGGGGTACCCATCCCAAACGTACAACAATTCTTGCAACATTTATGTCCACCTTACAAAAGTGAGGAAATAAATAAATAAAAATACACTTTTCTAACAACAATAGTTTCAGGAATTAAAAAATAATAATTTATGTATTTTTATGAACAAAATTTAAATGTAATTTTTTATATGCAATTAATATTGTTTTCTAATTAGAATTAAAATTTTATTTTAATAATATATATTAATGAGACCTATACTAAATATAAATACATAACATCTAACATAAACCTTAAATCCTAAACCTTATACTCTTACCGGAAAAGCATCATGACGTAGTGCTAAAAGTCGTATACACTCCACACTTTTCAATCCTAATCCATATATCGTCAAGAGATATTCCCTATGACATGAACAATTTGCATGATCAAAACACCTTAACTATTTTTGTGACTAAGAAAGACATAATCATACAAAAAAAAAAAGAAATATTTTGTAAAATGAAATAAATGTTTATACTTACTTTACTTCCTTTTGTGGAGCGTCTCTTAGCCATTCTAAATCCATAGTTCCAGTTGAGTTCATCAAGTTATTTAGTAAACTCTACAAATACATATGGTAACAAAATTACTATAATAATATTAACATGTTAAAAGCCATTATTAATATAGACAAACCAATTTTTTTTTTAATTTTGTTTTTTTTTTACCTGTATTCTTCCTCCAATAATGTTGTGTTGGCCACGAGATGCAATAGCTTTAGCAACTTCACTAGCTTGTGCACATCTTACTGCTTCCCAATCAACAGAATCCATGTGATCACTATCTCTTGGGCTTTTAGTGTATATTTTTCTTAGTGTATCCCAATATTGTTGTTTTTCTTCCATTAACTTCTCTTTTTCCTCTTTATTCTTATTTTTCTTCTCAGTTGATTTTTTCTCACCAAAATGCATGCCAAGAGGGTCTGTCTTTTCAGACCTTGAAGTATTATTTTTGGTTCCCTTATTATCATCAACTTTGGAAGAGTCATTGGCCTTTTGAGCTTCCATTTCTTCATGTTTGTGTTCTTCCATTTCTTTATCAAACTTAGGATTAGTAAAGACAATATGGTTCCTAATTGGTTCTTGTTTTTCCACTGGAAACCTTGCAGCAAGTGTCATGAATGTCGAACTATAGGAACCAAGATAACCATTAACATGATAATACTCTGAAAATTAACAATTTATTTATTTTTCAATTTTACCTTGACAAAAAGTCAGACACATTTTGAGTTAAGAAAACGCCAACCACAGAATCCAAAACTGAACCTTTCCATAGTAAAAAGCGTCTATCACCTGAAAAAATTATTAGTCCAATTTTAAACACATTTTTTCTTTTTATCAACAACCATCAAACAATTAGAATATAAAATAAAGGAAAAGAGAAGAAAAGATGTATAATGTAAATATGAATTAATTTTACATCTCAGATTGACTATAATTGTTACTTCAAGCAATTAGGAAAATGACAGTCACCAAAGTGATATTATATAGTTAACTTAGGCTTACTTAAAACATGACCTAATAAAATTAAAATGGATATATCATTGTAACTTTTTATATATAATCTTCAGAAGAGTTAATTTCTAACCAAAATTAAAATTTTAAACAAAAGCAAAATCATTTTTTCATCCATTGATTATATAGAAAACTAATTTGACATAGTTTAACCTTTCATTTTTTTCTTTTTTTTATGGAAACAAAACCCTCATCCATTGATATCTATCAAAGATTGAAATTAGTCTTAGATTTCTTAGTTTTAAAAATCATTACAAAGAAATATGAAATTAATCTAACATAAGCAAAAGCAAAAGGTACCTTGTATGAGATGCATAAGATTTATGAATGAATTAACCTTCATCCGATACATTTCTCTAATGTCCTCCCAATATTTTCGCTTCGTCTCATCATGTTCTTCGTGTCTTTTTTCATCCTTGAGCAAATCCCACACTCTTGATGTCTCTTCGTCAAGTAAAACATCAACTAGAGATGATCTTTTGTAAGGAACCAATTGTCTTGTTTTTTTATAGACAACAAGTTTCTTAGTCATTTTGCCTATTTTTTTCTTCAAAAAACGATATTTCCTTTTTTTCTTGAACACCAATGGACACAGTTGTCCAATTCGTTTATGCTCTACTAGACATAAACTAGTCAACACTTTTTCATAATTTTGTATTGAATTATACCCCATGCCTAATTCATTGCTAGTATTGGAAGAACTTTTTTGTTTGCGAGAACCCCTTCTCACATAACTTTGCCTCTTTTTAGGAGTTGAAGGTTTTGGAGCATTACTCTTAGCAGATTTAGATCTTTGAGAGACCAGTCTAGGCCGATATATCTTTTTTGGAGTTCCTTTAGGTAACTCATCATCAGTTTCTCCCATGTTCTTTCTTTTCCTCAAAGAAGATGGTGCACCCAAATTAACTCTATCATCTGCATTGGTTAAAGAAAGATTAGAACATTAAAATAAATATTTAAAATTTAATACAACGTGCAAGATTTTTTATTTTTTATTTTTTATTTTTTTAAAAGAAGGAAAGATAGTTTATTACTATCAAATGGATACAATTACATATTAAGATTAATCATAAAAACATAAGCTCACTTAGAGACCCACCGAACCCATTAATTTTTTTTGGAGTTCCTTTGAGTAAATGGTCATCAATCTCTCCCTTGTTCTTCCTTTTCTTTGAAGATGAACTGAATTTAACTTCATCAGCTGCATGAACAAAAAAAAATATATTTAAAATTTATATACAATATTTTTTCTTGTTTGACAATTTCTTTTATTGATGCACAAAAAGACATGATTGAAGAACTAGTTGTACCCACTCAAAGATCCATACATGATACAACTACATACAAATTCACTAATAAAAAAAATGCCCCAAAACATATAAGAACAACTTTTTGCAAAATGTAGATTACTTGAAAAAATAAGAAAGCATAAACAAGAAAGACTACTTATTAAGAGTCTTGGAATTCTCAAACTGTTGGATTACAAACAAAACTTACATCATTAAAAATAAGAGAAAAAATAAAAGTCTATAAAATACATAGATACTTCATTGATTATAAATTATTTGAATGATGATCAAAAATAAAAATTATGAGAATGAAAAACCAAAGTGAACAACAATATCAATATTAATATAGTTGTGTACAAATATTCTTAAATAACTCATAAAACAAAAAAAATATAACCCTCTCTTCATAAAAATATATCCCTCATCAAACAAACCAACAAAGTGAATCTAATCCCAACTCTACTTCCATCACTTGTACAAAACAATAATAATCGAAATAAAATTGAACTTTTTAACATATCCACATGAACATGGATTATTTGCATTCATATGTGATTGACCCAAATAACACAATAAACAACCTGTGTGATGTATTTGTATATCATCTTTAGTCTTCTTTCCTGTTTCAGGATCCTCACCTAGCCACTGAATATCTTCGGGTGAGATATCTGACAGATTTACTGATTCCCAAGTTTCATTTGCAGTCCCCATATCATAGACCAAACCATGTTGACCATCATGTGGATTATAGCTGGTAATAATTGCTTCATAAAACTTATTGTCTTCAGGCCATCTTGTCTGCACTCTCCTTCCTACTAGTGAATCCAATGAAGACCCTGAAATATAATGAGATCCTCACATAATGTATACAAATACATAATTAATCACCTATACACTGTCAGTGTAAAGTTTTTTTATACCGGCAATCAATTATATATTTTAATTGTATCATGTCACTATAAACACATTTACTTTTAATAATGACATGACACAATTAAAAGATATAATTGGTTGCTAGTGTAAAAAAACTTTACACTGGCAGTGTATAGGTGATTAACTCGATAAACATTTCTACTTCCCAAAAAAATTATTATCTCATCTTTTAAGTAAAGATATATATTTTTTTTTATTAATATGAAAATAAAGGACCGAGAACATAATTATAACATTTGAAACAAGGTACCCACGACATCACCTAGAGAGAAAAGGACGTAGAGGATATAGAATTTAAAATCAAATTTGACCAAAATCAATTTAATTCAAAACGAACTTTGTTGAACATTATCCTATACACACATAGATGCACACAAGATTAAGAGGTAAATGCAAATGACTCTATTAAGTGGTTATGTGAATACTAATGAACTTTTAATTTCAACTATGATTAGTTATGATGGTATTACTTAGATTTATATCGCTCACATTTTTTAATAATATATTTAGATGAAAAATTTAAATAAAGTAATTCATTTTTTTAAAAGAATTTTAAATTTTTTGGAATGAAATTTTTTGTTTAGATAAAGAATTTATAAAAAAATATATGAAATTTAAATATTTGTGAAATTTTTTAAAATAATAGAATTTAAAGTTCTCTAAAAAAGTAAGAATTTGAAATTTTTCGTATTCTTTTTCTTATCTCACCTATATATCTTTTATATATCTCACTCTCTCTCCTTTCTCTGAAAAATATTTTTTAAATTATTAAATATTATCTAATATTAACTTTTAAAACTATTAAATATTTGAAAATTGGTTAATATTTAATTTTAAAATCTCAATAAATATATATATATATATATATATATAATTAAAATAAAATATCAATACAATTTAAAACATGATTTTCTTCAAATAATAATTATAACA